CTTCGTCCGGAAAAAAAAAAACTTCGGTTTGTTTGCTTTTTGGGGGGGGGGGGGGGGGGCGTACTCTTATGTTTTGCATGCCTCAGCGGTTAGACCATTGACCACGCGTCCTCGAGAGGACGGAGCATTGTTCCCACAGGACCGATCACCGATGGCCAATAGTTCCTTCCTACTTTGCCAAAGGTGGCTCAAAAATGTCTTCCCTAGTCTCTTCCCTAGTCTGTCTATCCTAACGATGTCCCTTCCCGCCTTTTCAAACCACTTCCTACTCCCCAGTACAGCTACCGTCCTCTCCTCTCTATTCCATGCCTCAAACATCTCCCTGTACGTCCCTTGCATTTTTCCCAGCTCAGTCATGTACACTTCCATCTCCTCTTCGTACCACGGACATTCCGCGACTACATGAACACGGTCTTCGCATTCGAAGCCGCAATCACATTTGAACTTGTCGTCTTCGTCGTCTACCGTCCTATGTCTTCGTCGACGTTCGCGAAGGCCTATGTCTCCGGTCCTGAATTGACCTTAAGCTTTGTCCCTGCATCCATTGGTCCAAGTAGGTAATCCTTGAACCCTATTCCTTCTTTCAACATTCCGTACACTTCTAGACCCTCCTTATCCTTGGTTTCTTTCCTTAGATTCTGTTTTTCTCTCTCGGCACAAGCAACAGATATCTTCTCCTTGAACCGCTGTAGACCCTCCGTTTCCAGCGTTTCATCTTCGTCGATGTCGAACCCCTTCCATACGTCCTCTACAACCTTGACCCATTCCGTGGGTTGTCTACCCCTCTTTTTGTTTGCCCACTTCGCCTCCCATACTTTTTTCGGCAACCTCTCCGCTCCCATCCCGCACATGCGATACTGCCATGTCAGCTTCCTTGCGTCTCTTCCCGACCGTAGGGATCGTGTGTGTGTGTATGGGGGGGGGTAAATCATCACGCACGCCGAATGACCCACCCCACTAGTAACCTGGACCTTTGTTCGTCCACGGGTGTTGGAAGTAGGAGTGGGTGTAAGCGTGAAAAACCCAACCAAAGACTGTTAATAATCGCACCAGGATTGTTCTACCTACTGCTATTGAACCCGGCAAAACGCACCAAGAAACAGAAACCCCCAGGCTTGCCTGAGAGAGAACAACCAGCGGCGTGTGAGGCGCGCACCGAAGAGCCCGCTCCGCTGTTGCAACAGCAAACACAAAATCGTAGACACACAGGTACAGTAGTGCTCCGCTAACGCTATGAACTCATTTGCCAACTTCTCCTAGACCCTGGTCTATGGATGAAGATGGATTTATTGTGATAACTGTATATTAAGAAGAAAAAAAAAAACAGATCATCGATGGCTGTCACCTCCTGTGTGCCGGCACCCGCCTCTGTCGCAGCAGGAGCGACCACCACTCCGCTCCCACCCCCCCCTTCCGCCGCCGCTGCCGCCTCCGCCGCGGCTACCGCCGCCACCGCCGCCGCCGCTCCCGCATCCTCGTCGCCACCGCCGACCCCGCTCCCGCCCCCACCGCCGCCCATGGCCCCGAACAAGCCCAACCCTGCCATGGAGGACGGCTCCTCTAGCACGCCGGTCGTCGAGAGGGAGGAGGAGGTCATGCTCCGGCTGCCGCGCACGACAAAGTCGTGCTCCATGCAGCTCATCCTCACCAGCATCAGCCGTAGCTCTCTCTGGTACAATTCTCCCATCTCGTGCATCTGTTGTTGGCGTTCATCGCGGGGGGGGTGGTGTGTGGGTCGAGAGAGAGGTAAGAGATGCCAAGCGATGCCACGAAAAGGGGCGTTGGCGTTCTTCAAGCGAGAGCATGCGTAGCAGGGACCTACATTTTCCATTGGTTGCTTTTGTTGCGGCAGGAAGAGAGGGGCGCATTCACGAAGTACACACATCATTGATGAACCAAAGCGAGAGCGTGCCTAACAGGCACGTTAAATTTCCATCGTTGCTTTTGTTGCAGCGGGAAGAGAGGGGCGAATACACGGAGTATACACATCATTGATGAACCAAAGCGGTGAAAGTCTTTGATGTGGCTCCGGCAGAAGCGTTCGATCCGAGTCGCAATAAAAATTCGTATGAGAACACACGAAAAACCAAAACAAACGAAAGGTTCTCACGCTCGGAGACAAGTAAGGAAATACCCCGGCATTCCCCACAAGCAACAGCAGTATTCGTAGGGTTTCGGAGTATTTCGACAACCACAAAGAATGTTCTCCGTCTGTTCTCCACACCAGACTAGTCTCTCTCCTTGGACCATTCTGCAATCTTGACAAAAGACTTGCTATCTAGTCGCTCATCGCTCAACGACGGAACCCCCCATGCGGCACAACATTACAGCAAAGGTTATCAACAAACTTCGGGTATCTACACACGGTTGTAGATGTAACAAATCTCCTACGAAAGGCCTACATGTAGGCCCACGAGTCACATTCCTTGTCATGCTCCGGTACACGGCTGCGGGCGCCTCTACGTGCGATGCGCGAAACATTCTTTGGAGAACGCCCCGGGGTCATCACAACACGTGCGGAGGGAGTGCCAAGCTCCCCTCCAACAAAGCTAAACATGGCACACACACGACGAGCCGTGTCACCTTTCGGAAGCTGATGCCCCGCTGCTCGGTGTGCTTGGCGTGCAGGGTCGCGTTTGTGCTGTCGATCCTCGCCGAGATCTGGTTGGAGATCACTAGGGCGGCCACCTTTTTCTCCAGCTCCGGCACCTTTTTTTCACCAAAACCCCAAGGGGCACGCAGACAGGAATGTACGCGATGACCGGCGGTGCCGGCGGGGGGGGTGGGCGGGGCGGGGGGGGGGGGGTTCGTCATTGACACAGGAGGCAAGGGTACGCGTACGCGGCACACAAGACAGAGACGGGTGGGGTGACTACTGCCGTAGGCTCCGAAAAAGACGAACATTTCCCGCTATTAATAGAGGTCTACATACCACCAAAAGAATCCCGGGTACCACCACAGTCGTACAAAAACACGTGCCATGCGATACGCAAAGTGTAAGGGCACGGGTACGGTGCCTTCCGCGACCCACTACTACTGCTGTGCACGCCTGTGCCGACATACCCCGGGGAACAACCTCACCTGCTCTACTGCTGTGAGATGGATTGGTCCGTCGTATACACACGTGCATTGGCGTGAGCGCATCAAGTTGGTTTTCATGACAAAAAAGCGACTCACCTCTATCCCAAACGCCTCCGACATTGCCCCGAGTCGCACCGAGCTGTAGGGAGAGAAGTACCTGCCCAATTGGTTCAAAAACGAATTGGAAGCAAATCAAAGGTTACCGGGGGACGTCATTTGTTCACGGCCAGCCTCGCGTGCTGCCGTTCCGTGCCAACAAAACAAACTTCACTTTATCAGCAAACATAACACAGCCGGGATATCAAATCGCACACGCCACTTTTTCTGCCTTAACGCGAGAGGTGCATAACGACCCTCATCGCCGCCATCAAGGACATCGTGCACCAAGGGTGCCGCAGAATTTCATGAAAAAGAAAACTAAAAGAGCAAACCCAAAACGTTATACAAGACTGTCTGGTGCATCGCGGTCATTCCACCACAAGCCAGGCATCGTAATACCAACAACACTCATGGCTCGGAATCTGCATATGTAGTGCAACGAAATAAAACATACCGCTACTATCGAGGCAACAAAAACATTCTACGCGCATAACTGACGTTCTGTTACAACAAAATATGTGAAAGCCTCTGGCCGAAAGCAAGGCACGCACGCTCCAACGCCACAAAAAAGGGCAACAACAACTACGTAAGAAAAAAAAACAGCTAAAAAAAAAGAACTGGGCCTATCTTATCTCACTATTCACTCCAGCGGTGTCCCTTCCCGTGGGAGTGAGAGTCTGTCTGAGAGGAAGAAAAACGACACAAAATCACAACCAACACACCACGGAACAAGAACAAAAAAAAAAAAACTTACTGCATGAGGCATTTGTCCTCCACCATCTTGTACAGGGTGTCGAGGTGCCTGTGCAGGTGTAGGTCTAGCTGCAGGTCCCCCTTCAGGTCGGCCAGGTACTTGAGGCAGGATCGGTAGCGGCTGTTGGCGAAGTCGTTCGTCAGCTCCCTCACCTTCGGGACCGACCGAACCGAATCGCAAATCAAACGTTGAGACCCAATTGGTTGAATCGAGTGGTCGGAGTCACGATCCATTCAGCACCGCAGATAACACAAGAGCCGCAGAGAACACAAGAGAGAGAGAGAGAGAGAGAGAGAGAGAGAGATAGAAAGAGGCCGTAAGCATCCAGTCAGCCAGAGAACAAACAGAACTCAGGTTCCGTGGAGGGAGGGGTCACGCGAATGGTAACATCGGGTATGGTTGGGGCAGCCAAAGCGGCGGCAGCGCAGCTGCACAAGAGAGGGCACCAAGAGCAAACTAAGAGGTAATAGCATAGCAGCAATGGTAGTGGCCGTGAGCTATAGCATGGTCGGACGGGTATGGGTGGTAGAGACAACGCATCGCGAGCGTCAGCACCAGCACCAGCATCGGCATCGAAGGCCACCACGCCGCGGCAGGGCTGGCAGGGTTGGTTAATACAGTGGATAAGTGTAGTTGATATTACAAGTAGCAGGGTTAACTTCAGCTCCAAACCGGCGCGGCCACGGCACACGGGGCGGCGATTCCGGCCGCGAGAGGAAAAAACGTCTCCTTATGAGGCGAACACTCCCACCACTCGCTTGACGAAACCGTGGTTTTCAACCAAATCCCGAAGGCATCAACATTTACACGCGAAGGAAGGGGGTGTAGGGACCCAGGGGGCCGACCCGAACTCCGTCTGCGGATCCCCTTGCACCACAATATTGCAGCTTTTTTTTTTCACGGAAACCTGTTACTGCGCACTGACCGAATCATTATATTGTACTCCATACCTGCGGCACGAGGTCGAGGAAGTTCTTGAAGGAGGCGTTGTCCAGCACCCGCTGCCGCATCTCTTCCCGGGAGAAGGTCGCCAGCGCGCACAGACCGCCGTACACGGCAATATCCTCGGGCGCCACCACCCCGTCGAAGCTCGACCCGAGCTCCGGCGCTACATCCACGAACTTTCTTGCGGCCTGGGAAGGAAGGCGAAGATAGACGCCAACGGCGAGAGAGAGAAGAAAAACTAAGAAAAGGAAGACGGAGGACAAAAGACAAAAAATGTGTCGGGCCACATCTCTCGAGGGCGGTGCGCCCACCGCCCTGCATTGGTAGTTCAACTCGGAACCTTGCAAGCTGCCCTTTCTGCTCCGCGCCGTGCCGCGAACAACAGCAACGGAGCACGACGCACACGAAACGCAGCACAAAAATCGCACCACGGAGGGTTAGGGTTCGTACCTTCGCGTACTCCCTCTGATCCAAGTGCACCAGGCCGGCGGCCGCCCTTAGCTTTGCCTTCACGACCGAGTCTAGGTCCGGTGTGTGCTCGGCCCTCAAAACGTAGTTGTTCACGTGGATGAAGTTGCCCATGTCTGCGCTGATCTGGTTGTTCGGTTTTCACCCCGTCATTGTCGGTGGTTGTTGGTTTTCATTTTTTTTCCGCATCATCGTCGTCGTCCGTTGGAGGCGTTATTTCGTTCCGGGATGGTGATCGGAGCCCGTTCAGTGTTATCATTTTTTTGCGCGTCGGCAAGGCGATGCACCCACGAAATCAGTCAGCACACCGATCAACCGATCGCGCGCGTGCGGTGCGGGAGCGAAGATTCCCAAAGCGTCGACGAGATCGGGGACAAAACAATCAATCAGGATTCGGCAACAACGGGGCGCGTTGGATGGGAACAAGGGAAAAGCAGGCGGCAAGTGTGGGGAGGGGGGTCGGTGTGAGGCACGCTGGCGTCAAGGCAAAAAAAAGCGCAAGACAGCGCGGTTTGTTTAGAAATCCAACAATAATGACTATACCGTCTAGCCGCACTGGCAACCAATTGGCACCGTGGTTCCAAGACCATCGTGCCTGTGATCGATAGCCCCCGACGGATCCTGCGGTTCTCGTGAAAGAACAACAAGGACACCACAACAACGCACTCCATGAGATGACATGAACCACGCTCGTCATATGGGCGTCATGGTGGCGCCTGCTTGTCGAATGAACGGTGGTTCTTGACATTCTAAAAGTCTCCAACCCCCACCCCGCCCTCTCCGTGACCACAATCTCAAGTCACACCACCCAAAGCAGCATATCGCACACACAACTCCACGGTAGGATCACAAGCGGCCAAGACCTCGGTCTTCGAAGCACGTGCGATTTCCTCTAGGCGATCTACAACACAAACGACGTGTTGTCCCGCTTAGGCGCGTATCTGCATGGACAAACCTTGCACCCTCCAGCAAAATCCCTCCCATGCAATGCGCCCGTCCGTCCGTCGCGAAACAGTAAGACAGCTGACCTAGCGGCAGCGATTGGAACTAATCTTTGGGGCTGGTGTCCACTATACACACCTCTATGACGTGGAGACACATCTCGGCCGAGTGTCGGTTGGTGGTGCAGTAGTCCCTAGTCCTCGCGTAGCACTTCAACGCCTGCTTCAGGTCTCCTCTGATTCAACGTTGAAGCAGCAGCAGCAGAAGCAGCAGCAGCAGCAGCAGCAGCAGCAAAGGGTGGCGGATGGTTGGAGCACCACAACCAACAACAACGACAACAAAGCCGTCACCGCCAACAACGAAACGCTCAACAGAAAATGACTCTTCGATGCCAGTGGAGCCGCAACGACCAGAGGCTGACAGCAGACATTGAAGAGGAGGACCACTACCAGCACCACAAGTCCTTCCATCGTGCACAAAAACATGCGTACGTACGTCCTGGCCGAAGGGGGAGGTTTACCGCCCGAACTTACAGCGGTACCGTCCACACGACCGAACGTATTTCATGCCTCTCCTCCTTTCGGACTTGCTTGCTCCGACGCGATCGAGATGCGGTGCTCATTGCTCATTGCACATTGCTCAGCAGCAGCAACGGAATACCTCCTTCCGAGCCGGCGTCGACTGGTCTCGGTCCCTTTTGTATTCGCCGGTTCTCCAGGCACTCTACAACCACGCTCAATTAAGGCTGTTTCGACCGTTCCCTGCCCACCCCAATCCGAGTATCGGATAAACCTTTACCAAATAGGTTGACCCTGCACTAGAGCCAGAGCCGCGGGAAGTATTTCGTGCATGATGCGGCATTGAAACCTCATCTACCCTCCAGCCGTCCCGCTGCGCGGTATCCGGCAGTGACGAGAGCTCGCGACTTGCTACCGGTTGGTTGGTTGCTTATCAGCTCCCTGTATTGTCGTTCTGTTCCTTTCTCAATCTGTCTGTCTGTCTGTCTGCCTCTCCCTTCTGTCTTGTCTGTTTGTGTTGTCTCCTCTCTCTTTACTCTCAGTCTCCCAACCTGCATCTGCCCCCCCCCCCCCCAACCCAC